GTAGTAAAATAGCTGCACATCATCCATCCTGCCCACTCACACGTACCTTTATATAATTTAACCCATAACTCATAATATTAATGTAACGTAAGCACAAGTTTATATATATAAGTAGAAAACAGTAGATATAGAACAAAAATACCAACCCAGTTTCAAGTTTGAAGGGGAGGTCACCGCAAAAGCCGGGTAGGGCTTTGATGAAATTGGAAATCGATGCAACATTAATGTTCATAAGGATCACCAGAAGAAGTGCTTGTGGCAACATGGTGATGATGATGTACTTGCTGCTAGGCATTTCATCACATGCATATATGGAGGATGGCTTTATCACTCTCCTGTGAATTCAGGAAACGTGCTATAATTTAAGGAATTTGGTTTTTTTCATGAGCCATGAAGTGACTGGATAGTCTGAACGTTCGGTGAATCCTCGTGATCATCAGCCAAGGAGACCCTCTTAATTCAATTGTCCTTTGTTTGTTGTTTAGCCTAGTAATAATATGAATATGTTTCAATATTTTGGGAATTTTATTTTCCTTTTAGCTTCTGTCCCTTTCAAATTCCTCAACTTGTGTATGCAAGATTTCTATAAAAAGAGAGGCAAAGAAAATGAAGCCAGTACTGGAGTTTAAAAAACTGAGTGATGCTTAAGAGATTAGAAATTTTAACAGGAAAAATAAAAAATAAAAAATAGTTGTGATGTTGGCTTTGCAGAGGAATTAATCACAACGGTTTTAATGCTTTGCAAGAGAGAGGTATGATGCTTACTCTTTGCTCAGCCAACATCACAAAGGTTGTTTTAGTACAAGCGATAGTCTAAACTCGAGAGAAGACAAGTTTGTTTTAAAGCAAAAGAAAATGCAGGCTAAGACGAAAGAGAACAGAACAGAAATAGGGAAGACAAGTTTTCAGGATTTCTTTAAACGCACACACCGTAGATTGTTGTTCAAAAGTTAGACTTTACAAAGGGTCATCCAGAGAATGATTTGTTGCATGAGATTCAATGACATTCAAGAACTAAAAACATATCTGCTATAAGGTGTGCTTTAGGTTTAGGTTCCTCATTCTGTTCCAGTATTCTATTATTTCACTGAATCTAAAGAAATATATTATTGATGAAGGGATTTACAACATAAATTAATGAATTATTGGGGTTGCAAATTGTAACTTGCTTATTTACAATGACACCAGTGCGAATGATGAAAACGTTTCCAGGAAGAAAATATCACTCGAATAACTAAAATCATCCTTCAAAAGATTGGTAATCTCAACTACTGACTACAGAGGGTCGTATGCGAACCACCTGCGAACCATAGCAAGACATTCTTCGGGTTTGTACTCCGGAGCTACGTGACCTGCTCCCTGCTCAAAGAGAAAATTTAGTCAGCTTTTGCTCAAGCAAATTGTAGTATGGAAAAACAAAGTTCATGATGGTTCATTGCTTCTTGCCTTTATAGTTGTAAATGTCAAGTGGTACTTTTCATATGTATACTGCACTCTGTATCTGGGGACAAAAATATGCTGTGTAACTTAAGAAACAACTTAAATAGAAGAGAAGCTTTAAGGAAGTAAAAAATAAACTGAGTTAGAAATTAACCCTGCAACTTGTCCGTTGACGAGCCAAGGTTTCCAAGGAAAAGTGACATTCAAGTTTAGAGATTCTATCCAATCAATAGTTCCCAAATATGGAACCATCATGTCCTGGTCACCACTGTTAACAAATAAAATTAATTGTAGTCAACAATTTTGTGAGATTCTATTGACAGAGGATTAAACCTTTGTTTGAAATCGTGTACTTGAACTTGGCACCCTATTTTTAAGTCCATGATGGATAATAGACAAACAGGAATTGATAAACATGCATATTGTACAAAATTACCTGTAAACCAGAACCCTATAGCCTTTTTTTATGAGGTACTCATGATAAACAAGACTAGAGGAAACATCATGTATATATGAAGCTGATAAGCTCCTATTGCATCTCACCCATTCCTTAATGCTTCCCTGATGTTGTCATTTAAAGAATGAAGCTTCAGCAGCAAATTAAACTACTGTATATTTAGAGTCTACAAATTTTGTTTTTTTGGGTGAAATTAGAGTTTAACTAACTAGTTACCTCCCGAATGTGGAGGGCATTTTGAACCGCTTTATCATTCGCCCAAACCTCAGAGAAGATATAATTGTCTTTCTGCCATCAAAAGCAAAGCAGATATGCTTAGTTAAGTAGAGTTCAACAAAGGCATATGAGTAACCTACAGCATAAAGATCAGTTATTGCTGGTATGCATGTGTATTTGTGAGATATAGAAACTCACCCGACACCATTGCCTGGGAAGTTGAGAAAAAGGAAGGAGAAGATTTACAGAGTGCTTATTGCTGAGATGGTTTGGGGATGAGTAAGTGCATTTGGGTTCCAATATATGTGCTGGGTTTATGTCTTTGACACACTGCTGATTCAAATGTAAAGTCAATACATCTTGATATATCTCACATTTACCAATTTAAAAAAAAAAACCATGACCTTTCTTTCCACTGACCTCATTTACAAGTTCCATATCATCCAGGCATAACTCATTGCTTGGATCCACATCAGTATAATTTTCGTTGCAATTTCTTTTAGTTGACTTGAGAAAGTTTAAAATCACCAGAATGTATAAGAAAGACAATAATATCTTTGTAGCAGAAATTAGTTGGATCTCTATATGCAAGTTGCAACCTAAGAAAAAAACCAAGGGGTATGATCACCTGGTATAGTTCATCTGATATTAGGGCTTTTAGGTGGGAAAATGGTACAGTATAGCTCATATCTTTTTTTGAGTCACACCCTGCGTTGCCAAGCACATATCCCTGCATTTCGGTATATATATAGTGTTAGCAGAATGGAACAGAAACTAATCAAAATCTAATGGCAGAACATGTACCTTGAGATTCATTGGTGGCTCATCTCCTTCTTCATTACCTGCAAAAGAACAACATTTAAACAATGCCTCATGAGCCCATTTGGAAGCTGAGCAAGCAGCTGAGCTGACCAAAGTATAATAAATGTAGGAGGATCAATTACCATCTGATATTTCCTTAACTACAATTGGAAGAACAATGCCTGAATAAGACTCTGCACCAATATAGAGTGGATTGTTGAGGAACTTGGGGTGATCCAGAAACCACTGCTCCACAACAGTGAATGAATAAACAACATTTAGTTAATTAACTTATTAATTAATGTAATCACTAGAAATTAAGATGGCAATGCAAACCATTTTAGTGTTCCTCTCACACCTTTTTAAGAAACTGATATGTTTGCGCGGCATAAGACGTGGCACTCATATTGGTGTATCCTTTCCAAGTTTTTGCATATGAGAATCCTGTGCCCACAGGTGCATCTAAAAATATTACGTTGGCAACCTGAAAGTTTCCGGTTGTTCTCAAAAGTTATAACTGAAAGCTAGTTGTTGGTTCACAGAGACAATAACACAAACACCTAGAAGGCAATTCAAGTCCCGCCCGCACCTTTGTATATGAGTATGGATTCAACTTCAATTTTGGCTTGTTGTAACTGGACTCTGTATAGTCAAATGACAGTGAACCTACAACAAAGTTCCAAGTACATATTAAATAAAGAGGCTGTACAATGACTTTTCTGAAGTGTCAACATTAATCTCAATTAATTAAAATGTTTGCAGGATTTTTGAATAAAACCACTTATCTTATACAATGACTCTTCATTTTTTTTTTCTTCATTTGTTATTTGGATTGATGTCCCAAGTGGGTCTCATCTTGTTGAGAAATACGATAATCAACTTTGTAACAGTAAATTTAGTACATGTCTAAGGCGGAACCAAATTTTTTTTATAAAGGTGGTCTAATTTTATTTTTATATTTTTGTTTTGCTTATGCTATGTTAGCATCTTCTTCTTCAAGTAAAATTAATAAACCAAACAAGTTCATATATTTTGGAAACATTAACACAAACAACTACAAATAAAAATTGAACAATAAGAATCAGGGGTTTGGGTGAATCTAAAAACTCAACAGTTTGATCATGGACCACATTGTAGAGCATATTGGTCAAATAAGTGGATAGCGTCGTATTATGTTGTATCTTCTAAAACAATCCAAATAGTGAAGAAAAAAAAAACATATGTACATATATACATACATACCTACACTTCCGTATACAAAGGCATGAAAACCAGAACAACCAGGACCTCCACTGAGCCAAAGCATAAGAGGGTCATGCTCAGGACTCCCCTCGGACTCAGCGAAGTAATAAAATAGCTGCACTTCATCTAAGTCGCCGACTCCCACGTACCTTTATATAATTCAAGCCATAATCTTAACTGGTGGGATCTTTCATATTGATATGTATAAAACGATATAAGTTAATGAAAATACCAACCCAGTTTCTAGTTTGAAGGGGAGGTCACCGAAAAAGCCCGGTAGGTTGTTGATGATGGACGAGCTTGATGCAACACCAGTGTGAAAAAGAAGGACCAGAAGAAGTGCTTGTGGCAACATGGCCATGCTCCTTCCCTTATCTCCAATGTGAATATGTAAAACTAGTCAGGTTAGCTTGAAGGGGGATGATATGAATGGCAGACAGATTGGTGTGTTCTTGAAACTTTATCAAGCGACTGTCATGGGGTCCTACGACATTAATTAATCAATTGGTGAAACTTTCCTGATTGTTTATCGATCAGGCAAGGGAGAAAAGGAACCCCCCCTCAATAATTTATTCTTTCTTTTCCATTTATTACTTTGGTCCCCTTGATGTTTCTCAGCTCTTCAATTGTTCTAGGTCACCAGATAAGCCGGGTAGGGTGTTGATGATGAACCAGCTTTATGCAACACCAATTTGAAAAAGGTAGTAAGTTGGTGCTTTCAATTTCTTAAAGCACTCACCAACTTTTTGAGGCAAAATTAAATTTGGAGAATGACTTGAATATCATCAAGGTAGAGATTGTACTTTGATAGCGTGGCTAGATTAGAGTCATGTATGTAAACCGACACGATGGTTAAGTAAGGAGTCATAAATTGGTATATATATGTAGAATTAGAAGAGAAACATCGACCCTAATATATACATGTAAATATAAAAGCTAATTGCATCTGTTTTGTTTCACTGAATCAAAAGGAAGTACTGATGAAGGGATTTACTGATACAACATTAACTAATGAACTTTGGGGTGAAAATTGTAGCTTGCTTATGCCAAAATACACCAATGGGAATGATGAAAATGTTTCCAGGGAGAAATAATATCACTCCAAATATATAAATTATTATCTTTCAATGGATTGATTGGTAAATCACAATACTGACTACAGAGGGTAGTATCCGAACCACCGGCTAGCCATTGCAAGACATTCCTCAGGTTTGTACTCCGGCGCGGCGTGACCCCCTCCCTGCTCAAAGAGATAATTTAGTCCAATTCTTCTGAAGCAAAGTGTAGTATGGAAAAAAAAACCAAAAACAAAATTGGTTCATTGTTTCTTGCCTTTATAGTTGTAAATGTCAGCTCGTGCTTTTGATTTGTATACTGCACTCTGTATCTGGGGAAGAAAATATATACGGTGTAAGAAAAAATTGGAATATAATTTTGTGACTAGATTCAAACTTAAACAGAAGAAAAAAAAAAGTTTAGAAAAGAAACTGAGTTAGAAACCAACCCTGCAACTTGTTCATTAACAAGCCATGGTTTCCAAGGACTAGTAACAGTCGCGTTCAGAGATTCTATCCAAGAAATAGTTCCCAAATATGGAATATTCATGTCCTGGTCACCACTGTTGACAGATAAAATCAACTAATTGGAGTCAATAGATTGTGTGAGGTTCTGTTGAAAGATTAAACCTATGTTTGGAGTAGCGTACTTGAATTTTCCACTGAAATTTTTTAGTCCATGGATAAGACACAAATAAAATTTTCTGGTTAGGTCCTTTGTCCTGGATAATATTACCTGTACACCAGAACTCTATAGCCTTGTTTTATGAGGTTCTCATGATAAACAACAGTAGAGGAAACATCATGTATAAATGAAGCTTGTATGCTCTTATTGCATCTCACCCATTCCTTAATGCTTCCCTGATGTTGTCATTTTAAAAACAAAGCTTGAAATTAAACTACTTTGAATGCTTGCTCGTACTGTATCTCTGGACTTAACTAACTCTTTTTTTAGTAAGATTAGAATTTAACTAATTAATTACCGGCCGAATGTGGAGAGCATTTTGAACCATTTTATCGTTTGCCCAAACATCAGAGAGGATATAATTGTCTTCCTGCAAAGCATATGAATTAGCTACAGCATATAGAGCAGGTATATATTGCTGGTATGTGCAGAGATATAGAGACTCACCCTACACCATTGCCTGGGAAGTTGAGAAAAAGAACAGAGGAGATTTCCGGAGTCCCTATGACATTTTGGTTCCAATATCTGTGAAGGGTTTATGTCGTTGACACACTGCTGATTCAAATGTAAAGTCAGTACCTTTTGATATATCTCATATTACTAAAAAATGATATGAAAACCGTGACTTTCTTTGCACTCACCTCTCTGATAAGTTCCAAATCATCCAGACATAACTTATTCTTTGGATCCACATTGATATACTGGCCCTTGCAGTTTCGTTTAGTTGACTTGGAAAAGTTTAAGAAGCACCAGCATAAGAAAGACAATAACATCTTTGTAGGAAGAAATTAGCTTGGGTGTATATGCAAGAACATTACATAGATGTATGTGTAACTTAAGGAAAAGGTTTTTGATGACATTGTTAGACAATCACTAGCCCCGAAAGCTTCAGTTGTGAAGGAATGTATCAACAATTAATGTATATCAAGCTTACATACTCCCTCACGTGCAAGATGCCCTGCACGTGAAGAGGCAAACTAATAGCAGAGAAAGACAAACATATAAGTCCAGCACACCCTGCACCTTACAAACCAACAATGAAATGAAGAACAGGGACCAAACTCAGCATCACTTGCACAGAAGGCTCTAATACCATGTTAAAACTTAAGATGTCAGGCATTATGCCAACAATTTATAGCAAGCTCACAGGGATGTATGACACAATAGTTCAAAATGATGCGAAGCGCCACAACAATCCAATCCTTACATTACATGCATATGAAACCTAAACAAACAAAACCAAAGTGTACTCACCTGGTATAGGCTATCTGATATTAGTGCTTTTAGGTGGCAAAATGGTACTTTGAGATTATTTCCACGTAAATTATCTACCGCTGGGTTGCCAAGCACATATCCCTTGGATCCAAGACAACTATGAATTAGTTGACTACAAAGGAATAGAAATGATTCAAAATCTAAAGCAAAACATGTACTTTGAGATTCATTGGTGGCTCATCTCCTTCGTCATTACCTGCAGAAGCATAACAAATAAAAACAACCGCACCTCACCAACCGAAACTAATTACAAACTATGCCTCATGTACTCATTTGGTAGCTGATCTTTTTTTTTTTTTTTGGGTAACTGATCAAGCTGACCAAAGTATATAATAAATGTACTTAAGAGGATCAATTACCATCAGATATTTCCTGAACTACAACAGGGACGACTATGCCTGAATAAGACTCTCCACCTATATAGAGTGGATTATTGAGGAACTTGGGGTGATCTATAAGCCACTGCAAAACAACAATTATTTAATTAATTAAATTAACTAGAAATTAAATGGGCTCGCAACCCTTTTAGCGTATCCTCCTCACACACCTTTCTTAGAAACTGATATGTTTGTGCGGCATGTGATGTGTCACTAACATTGTATCCTTCCCAAGTTGTTGCATATGAGAATCCTGTGCCCACAGGTGCATCTAAGAATATTATACTGGCAACCTGAAACGTTTAGGTTGTTGGCTTGAATGATTTAAAGCTGTAGCTATTGATCTCACAGACAAAAACACAAACATGTGTAAGGCAACTGAAGTTTCCCACCTTTGTCCATGAGTATGGATTCAACTTTAATTTAGGCTCTTTGCCAAAGGATTCTGCGTAGTCAAATGATAGTGGACCTACAACAAAGTCTCAAGTACATATTAAAGCTGTCTGTAAGAGTTAATTAGTTTCCGAATAAAACTACTTACACGAAAATTTCACCTTTAAAAAAAAAAAAAAAAAAAAGTTAAAGGCCAACGACTTTATTCATCAATAGGATGTAAGGAACGCAAATCATTCTAAAGGTAAGAGTGAAGCCAGCTAGGCCCCTCTTCCATCCAATAACATATCTCATTACAAGATAAAGCAATATCACGGACCATATCGCTGAGAAATATAATAATGAACTTAATTCATGATCAATAAATATAGTACATTTAGCATTACTTTAGACCCAAAAAAAACCAAGGTAGCATTGCTCTAAATTATCATGGATCAAATTGTAGAATAGGCCAAATAAGTGGTTAGCACCGTATTAACCAAGTCATTAGAGGGTTTTTTAAGGCAAAGTTTTAACGAGGCCACTGTCATGCTCCTCTTTTTTTTTTTGCTTTTTTCCCTTCAGTGTTTGTATTTGATGATATTATCAGTCAATGAAGTTTCTCTTTTTTATCCAAAATAAAAAATAAAACCAACTCGTTAGTATTTGGTCAAACGCTATATCCTCCAAAAATATTCATAGAGTGAAAAAAAAAATGTACATACCGATATTTACGTAAACAAATGTATGAAAACCGGAACAAGCAGGACCACCGGTGAGCCAAAGCACCAGAGGGTCATGCTCGGGGCTCCCTTCGGACTCAATGAAGTAGTAAAATAGCTGCACATCATCTAAGTCGCCCACTCCCACATACCTTTTAAGCCATATGTAATGTCAGTTGAGATCTTTCATACTAATGTTTAATAGAAGTGACATTGTTTTCGTTTCCAACAAAGTGGAGACAAAGTGTCACTAAATTGAATGATATTTGGCAAATGTCATCTTTAGATAAAATTATTTATCTATTAAGTCATATAGTTATATTATTTTTCGATTTTGGTCATTAAATTAGGTACATTACTATGAATATAAACATATAGCTACATTAGTGTAGATATATAAAGGATATAATAATTTATGAAGAAAAAGGAATATTACAAAGAGAGAGCAGAGAGATGATAACAAAATTGAAAGAGTCTCAAATTAATCTTTGTATAAGTATTCAGACAAGAAACAACGGTAACTATTAAAAGTTCTTCAATTTAATGATTAAAAATTTGTGGGTCCAATCCATATATAATCTAGCACAGACAAGAATAAAATGTAGTTATAGAGTATGGAAGATGAAGTTCAAAAATACCAACCCAGTTTCAAGTTTGAAGGGGAGGTCTCCGGAAAATCCCGGTAGGGTGCTAACGATGGACGAGCTTGATGCAACACCATTGTGAAAAAGGACCAGAAGAAGTAGTGCTTGTGGCAACATGGCCATGCTTATGTAGCAAGCTTCTGTAATATTCAGCATATATATTAGGCTTCAGCAGCGGGAATAGTTAGCCATGAATAGCTATAGCAGAAAGTTTGGTGTGTTCTTGAAACTATGAAGTGACTCTACGTGGGGTCCGATAACATTAATAAATTTGGTGAAACTTTCATGATCGATTATGATACAAGGACCCCCTTATAATTTGTCCCTTTTCTTTTCCATTTATTAATTACTTTTGTCCCTTTGATATTTCTCGGCTCTACTGTTCTGGGTTGGATTTGCTATACATGCTTATGAGTTGTAAGTTTTTATTTTTATTTACGGAAATAACTTTTATTGATGGGTTAGTTGTCCACGAAGTGGTTGCTTTCAATTTCTTAAAAGCACATTAATGTGGTGTCCAACTACCATATGCATAATGTATGTCACTAAAATTTTCCCAACAAAAATAGAGATTTGTGATGAAATAATTTGATAGACCGACATTTTGAGATAAAATCTCACACCTGATTGATTCTTAGAGGGCAATGTCGCTAAACAAGGTTCACCCATGCAAATAATGCCACCTCAACTTTCATACACTTTCGCGTATTTGTGTTGAAGGTTGTAGATTAAAATTATACTTAGATAAGTGATCATGTACTTTTAGTTACTGTGAAACATTACATATGTATAATGGCAGTAATTTTTCTAATTTAGTACACTAGGTTAAAGAGGAGAATGCGCCAGCCACCTATTGATCATATCAAAGCATTCCTTAGGATTGTACTCTGGAGCTGTATGCCCTCCTCCCTGCAAATTTGCAACGGGGAATTATTTATTACATCATAAGTGATTATTAGACTTACTTCAAAGAGAAGATCAATAAACTTGGAAGCCATCACTCATGCCTTTATAGTCGCATATGTCAAATTATACTCGTTGTTTGAATAGTACATTGTGTATCTGTAAAATGAATCAATGAAAAAAGAGAACAACAGATCAAAGTTAGTATTAAACATTGAAATTCCTAACCCCAAAAATAAAAATCCAAACCCGAAAAAATCATGAAAACAACTACAAACCCTGCAACTTGATGATCAGAGAACCATGGTTTCCAATCATCCTCAAGTGTCAAGTTCAAGGATTCAATCCAGGCCAGTGTACTTATATATGGAATGGTTATGTCATGATCACCACTGCAGATACACCATATAAACACACGAAATTATGAGAAAAGTACGAGATGTTTATTTAGTTTTTGTGTGACTAGCTACTGGCTAATTCTAGGCTTGATTCTTCAAGGTTGGTTGAAATTAGATTAATTTAAAAGGAGAGGTGAAACATGAAGAATCAAATTGAACAATTTAAATTTGTACCTGTAAACTATAGCACGAAGGGGCTTTTGGCTGAGGTTTCGATGGTAGTCAACACTACTTGGTACATCAAACGTGTAAGGTGTGGTTTTATTGCATTTAGCCCATTCTCCTTTTGTTCCCTGTTTGTGATCATGGTAAATGTAATTTTTTTCGAAATTGGCCACAGTTTCATATATTCTGTTTGATTAATTTGAAGTAAATCCAAAAAATATATATAATTAATTAGAAGTAACATTTATTAATTTATATGTATAAATTATATACCTCCCGGATGTTGAGAGCTTTGCGAACATTTATATCATTTTGCCAAAGAACTGCGTAGCGAATTCTGTCTTCCTACAAAACCCTTCAGCTAGTAAATTTGTTACTCTTTAATACTTCTCTGTCTTTGAGAGAGAGAGAGAGAGAGAGAGAGAGAGAAAGAGAGATACCCGACACAGTTGGAGAGGGGAGGGAAAATCTAGGAAAACATCATCCATAGACTCCCTGTCGTTCGTCTTTAATATTGTCCACTCGTTATAATAGTCCTTTCCGCAGAAAGGTGCCAGTATATGTTCTGTATCAAGTCTCCTAGTGCACTGCATACTCAATAATCAAGGGACTTCATAAAACAGAGAACAAAAACATGTAGTGTGCGTGTGTATGTATACACACCATATATTATAGAGAGTAATGATGTTTTGTTATATATCTGAATATGCATGTATGTTACGTCGTCAGATTGTGAATCAAGATTGTGCAATTCACCAACAAAACATATCATATATGTATAAATTTCTCTCATAAATAGGGGCCCTTTTGAAAAGTACCCTATTCACCAAATGATGCTTCAGTGTACATATCAATATCCTACTTGTTGAGAGTAAATGATCCTCAGAGTGAGCCCAGATTTAAATCAGTAAAACACTGGCACATCATTATGCTGCTGAACAAAATTTGGTGAACTTAGCAGCTAGCACCCGGAATGCCAATTGACGATGCTGATACTACATACCTCCTTGAAAGCTTGGAGACTGTTGAGGCACAACTGATTTTTTGGATCTACATCTACATACTCGCCCTTGCAATTCCTTTTTGATGACTTGAAAGAAGAAGAAGAAAACAGTAAAACTTAAAAACTTCTATTTTTCATTTGACTCTTATAAGAATAAGAGAGATATCCACTAAAACATCTTGGTGTATATAGTTGACCAATACCCACAAAAATCTTACAAGGAACATCCAGCACCTAAAAGAAAACCAAGAGCAACATACACACCTCATATACTCTATCTGATATAAGTGCCAAACGATGAGCATATTCAATTCTCGAATTAATATCCTCTTTAGCATTTGTAGATGGATTGCCAATTATGTATCCCTGAATCCATTAAACCAGAAGTTAAATTCCAGCACAATGATGTCATGAACAAATGACAGCTCTATAACAAGGTACATTCAACCAGGATGTCAATTTAGTACTTTGAGATTCAAAGCTGGCTCCATCCCAGCTTCAATACCTACAGGACAACAACAACAGAGATACAAACTCATGCCTCCTTAAGACTTTCGAGTTTCAACATCGAAAAACTTTTGTGCTCAAGAAGAGTTCTATTGCATATGCAATTGCAATTTTTGGCGCAATGGTTGAATTAATATGCAATTTGAGAACTTCATTTGTCATAATTTGTGAAAGTTACCTTGTGTTATATGCTGAACAATGATGGGAACAATCTTGCCCGTGAAAGAATCTCCAGAAATGTAGAGAGGATTCGAAAGAAACTGGGGATGAGCCACAAGCCACTGCATAGGAAATTTGAATCAATATAACAATAATCATAAATAACCAAGTTTTGAATCTTGTTCTAATTAATCTTATCTCCAAATTTGTGTGTGTAAATCTTGACTCACTTCCTGGAGAAACTGATAAGCTCTTGTAGCATGCAGGGTGTCACTACTGATTAACCCTTCCAGAGTTGTGGAGTATGAATAACCAGTAGCAGCAGGGGCATCTAGAAATATTATGTTTGCTACCTGAAAATAAATTATAGGACCAATTTTTAAATTTTCAACATCAATTGGGAAACTAAAACCCAGAGACAGAAAATTCCACACCTTGGTCCATGAGTATGGATTCAGAACAAGTTTCAATGGGTCCTTGGACAAATCATTAAATTGGAAAGATATTGGACCTAGAATAATATTTAAAAAAGTTAAAATCAGAGCCATAATTTTGTCTTTGCCTACTGATGAAATTGAAATTTACTTCCGTCCCAACAATTAAAGATAGAGATCAGAGGTATCAGGTTCGAATCCCCACAACATCATAGTTGTGTGTGTGTGAGAAATTCCCCTCCCATGTAGTTTAGACTATCGCTTTGTACTCAAAACAAAAAAAGATAGAGACCAAGTATACATGATGCGATGAAAAAGTATTTTCTCAGTGAAAGTTTTGAACTTTAATCTCATGAGAATTGGAAATTAACAAGTTACCAATTTCATATATGAGGCCATAGAAAGAAGAACATCTGGGGCCTCCGGTCATCCAAAGAAGCAGAGGATCATTTTCTGGGCTGCTTTCTGACTCAGTGAAATAGTAGAACATTTGCAGTTCTTCAGAATTGCCCACACCCACGTAGCTTGAAATTAGACACAAATTAAAACCCATAATTCAAAACTACAAAACATATAATTAAAAGTATAAAAAGAAGATGGCACAGAGTTCAGATATATTATTAATCAAATAATTAAGTACCCTGTTTCAAGCTTGAAGGGGAGGTCACCAGAAAAGCCTGGCAAGTTCCTGACGATTGTCTGCGACGCACCATAGTTGGTAAGCAGCACCAGCAGCAGAAAAAATGCCTGACACACCCAGATTGTGAAATAGATGCTTCTGCTGCAACTAATCATTCTCGTTTTTTTTCTTTTCTTTTTTTTCTAGTGGAAGATGAGGATATTGTCTGCGTTTGACCCCCTCATATTCTCATATATTGAGGTAGGAACAGTCCAAGAAAAAAAAACACATTAGAAAAAAACAAAAAGAGAAAAGAAAAGGATCCAGAACCAGAAGTGCTATTTGCAAAGGAAAATAATATGATGTCCCTCCTCGATAGAATAGAACCAGTTGCTTTCAATTTGGATATTTCAAATACCATGATAAAATATTGGCTAATTGGGCTTAGTTTTCTTAGGAAATTAAATTAATCCTTTGGGTATTTGAATTTTGGGTTAATAAGTTTTCTGGGCCTAGTATAACCGCGCGGCTATACTAGGGATTTTTTATATTTTTTTAAATCGTATAGCCGCACGGCTATACTATTTATAGAAAACAAAAAAGAGCCGGCCAGCGCCTAGGTGCCCACGTGTCAAAATAAGTCTAGCCGCGCGGCTATACTATTTTGTTTTTAAAAAAAAATCCCGAGTATAGCCACGCGGCTATACGCTTTTGAAAATGTTGTAATGGTCATGGCGCATACTTGATAATTAAAATTATGCATATTTGCTATAATTCAATGTTTAATTAGTTGATACCAAGTACCAGCGCCTAGGTGCCCACGTGTCAAAATAAGTATAGCCGCGCGGCTATACTATTTTGTTTTTTAAAAAAAATCCCGAGTATAGCCACGCGGCTATACGCTTTTGAAAATGTTGTAATGGTCATGACGCATACTTGATAATTAAAATTATGCATATTTGCTATAATTCAATGTTTAATTAGTTGATACCAAGTAGATGACTAAGCGATTTCCGATTTGGGTTATTTTCACAGAAGATGGATAGTTCCAGTCATCAAACCACATTGCAAGATGAGATTATTGAATCTACGTACTAAGGGGAACAGTTGCAGCTCATCCAGATTGCCCACCCCAACGTACCTTGGAATTGAACAACCCAACACAACGCATTATCATCAACAAAAATCTATTCAGCTCATAAATATATATATTATGATAGTTACCCAGTTTCAAGCTTGAAGGGGACGTCACCGGAGAGGCCTGGAATGTTCTTGACGATTGTCTGCGACGCACCATAGTTGGTAAGTTGCAGGTGCACTAGAAAAATTGCTTGCCAGAGCCACAATAATGTGACACTGAAATTGACGTAGTTGTTATATTATATGTTTGTGTTGTGGAGGTGTCACCAATAATTTGTTGTAGTTTGTGATTTTGTCAACTTCGAAAAAGAAAAAGGGTAAAAAACAACAAAAGAGAAACTTGTGGGCACCGAAATGACATCATTCAACCGTCGGTGCCAAAAAAACAAAGGGCTTTCTCTTTTGACGAACGAACAAAAAAAAAAAAGCTGTCTATGCATTTGGATTTATCTTTTTTATTACGTAATATTGGGTTTTGTTTTTAGCTGATTATTATGTTTATCCGTTTTGATGAGTGTCCTCTAATTTTGTAAGGGCTTTAAATTTGTGGACCCAACTATATGAGTTATATTCTGGTCATTGAACATATGCTTGAGACATATATATAATGGCAGCAACTTCATAATTTGATACTCAAGTTGATTGGCAATGGAGAAATTAGTAACTCCTTATAAGCTCTTGCATGACATTTTCATCTTCATATTCTCACACACTCTAGTACTTGTGGCTAATTTTCAACTCTAAAACGTGGACAAAATATATTGAGTGACTTGAAGCACGTGTGGTTTCTGGATTTTCACATATAGGTAAACCTGCTCTGATACCATGAAGGAAGTTAATAATCCACTCCAACATCAATCGATGATAAGGGGGAGTAGCCCAACTTCTTATAAGCTTATAAATACTTCAAATACATGAATGATTACTCAATCATTTAAACTACAAGTCACTTGCACTATTTTGACCCCAATAAAAAACCCCCCCGCATAGTATGATATGACTTTTGGGTCTAACACTTTTAATACTAGGGAAGAAATTGAATATTACCCACAAAAATAAATTAACCACTTATTAAATCAAATCAAGAAAGTACTCATAATTCAACATCCTATCCATTAATCTTGACATACTAATTATATTAAAGAGGAGAATGCTCTAGCCACCGTTTGATCATATCAAAGCATTCTCTTGGATTAAACTCCGGAGCTGTATGACCTCCTCCCTGCACAATTGCAAATGGAGTAATTTGTTAGATAAGTATTTATTAGTTGTGATTATAATTAAACGATCTCAAATAACACTAGTACATTAGCAATGTTCTTGAATTGCACTATTATTGTAGCAAATCGCAATATTGAAAATATCGACAGAATATTGATACTTTATTTATGATATATAGACCGCGTTGATAATACTTCTACAATAATAGGGTTATTTGAGAGCATTTCCCTTGATTATGCTAATGTAAGATAAAGAACATTTCTTGCCTTTATAGTCGCATATGTCAAATGATACTCTCCATTCGAATACCTAACAGTGTATCTGTAAAATTCACAAATGAATAAAGATAACAAAAGTAGAAGTTAGTTTGGATAGTGAAACTTGTAACCGGAGAAAAAATAATAATAAAAATAATAAAAATTTAATCTGAAATAAAAATCATGAAAACAATAAAAACTGAGATAGATATAATACAAACCCTGCAACTTGATTGTTAGAGAACCATGGTTTCCAATCATCATCAATTGGCAAGCTCAAGGATTCTATCCATGCTTCTGTACTTACATAGGGAACGCTCAAGTCATGATCCCCACTGCAGAAGATGCCATAAAACTTGTAATTAATTGGTAATAAAAGGTAGATAATTCATTTGTATTGAAAGGATTTTGACAAAATATGTAACGTGTTTTCGAATTGCTTGAATTTACACCTAGAGGGATAAAATTGACATAAAAAACTACAAAAATAAAATGGTAAAATCGGCAAACTACGTAAACTAAAATAACTTTTTTTCCATATTATAATCTTACCTGTAGACAAAAGCCCGAAGGGATTTTTGGCTAAGATTTCGATGATATTCAACAGCACGTTGAACATCTTTTATGTAAGGTGTTGTTCTATTGCATCTTACTCATTCACCTTATTGACCAAAAAAAAAAAAAAAACCCATTCACCTTTTGTTCCCTATTTGTCATTGTAAAATTGTTAAATTAATATATACATTTTAAAATCAACTGGTCACAAGTGTTATAAAAAAAAATACCTCCCGAATGTTAAGAGCTTTACGAACTTTCATATCATTTGCCCAAACCACAGAATACCGAAGCCTATCCACCTACAAAATCAAAATTTGACGTGTCTTAAGACACGTCAAATTTAAATGATGAATATTTGGTCTAGTGACATTTAAGATGAATTGCGGAGCTGATCTGTATTTCTATCCAATTACAAAGCTTTATAAGATTTCAACATTTTTTTGAAGGCCATGGACTAAAGTGCAAACTATACAAGGATGGAAAATGCAAACCAATATATATTGAATTTGAGAGAAGGGACATTACCCGACACAAACTTTCAGGAAAGGGAAAGCTTAAGAAATTATCATCAACAGAGTCCCAGTCCCACCCAAATGTGGTTTGTTCGTTGTGATTGATACGAGGAACGCATGCAGGTGCCAATATATGACTATCGTCAAGTCTGCTAGTGCACTGCAAATACATTAAACAAACCATTTTAAAATCGAAGATGAAAACATGCATCTTGTGTTCCTTCAAGAACATCTGATAAAATTGGAACGCTACATAGAAGATTAACATGACCCTGCGCAAGGATGACGTGCATAAAATGAGAAATGGTTCCGAAAAAAAAAACCAAGCATCTTGTACTACATTTGAATCATAACTACATCATGCCCATACCTCCTTGAAAGCTTGAAGATTGTTGAGGCAGAGTTGATTGTTCGGATCCACGTCTACGTATTCCCCCTTGCAATTCCTTTTGGTAGACTTCAAAAAACATAAAGCAATAGTGATATTTAAATTTTAAATCTACTATCTTATATTCAAGTATGAAAAAGTTGATATATATATAGTTGGCCATAATGCCCACAACCCTTAAAATGTACGACTTGCATAATTAGTATCAATCAAGACCTTCCTTTGTTCTTCATAATCATAAGTTGTATTAAAAATTTAGATGATTTCCTCAGAAGTTACTATGAAACAAAACCAAGAGCGACGTATATACCTCATACATTCTATTTGATATAAGCGCCATGCGATGGGCAAATTCAATTCTCGAATTCAAACCCTCTTTTTCATTTGTAACTGGATCGCCGATTACGTATCCCTGAATCCATTTGAAAGAAAACTAAATTCTGGACAATGTCATGAAATTTGAAAGTAGGCTAAATTATTGAAATGCCCCCTGTAACTCAATTTCCCCCTTGAAACTCTAAGTGTCTCACTTTCCCCCCTGAAAACTCCATATATTGTCTCACTTTGCCTATATTCCATCCAGCCCTAGCAAAAGTCAAAAATTGGGGAAACAATGATGGGGAAACAGTGATGGGGATGTTGTTGAGTGAGACTCTGGGGTCATAGGCCAAAGTGGTGACGGAGAGAGAGCGGTCAGAGAGTAAAGTTGTGGTATTGGCGCTGAAAGGCAGGGACTTGAGGGATCGGAGAGAGAAATAAAGGGGGATGATGTGGAATTGCAGGGGGTTCAGCGGTGGTTGACCGGAGTGAGAGAAGGCGGCGTCGGTGGGGGCGAAGATGGTGAGAGAAGGAGACTGGGAGAGGAGGAGGGTTTGAGAGGCGAGGTCGAGGGTCAGAGCCATGGAGGTGTAGCCGAAATCTGAGAGGATTTCGGCGGCGTTGACGAGGGTTTGGGTGGGGAGGGCAGAGGAGAGAGAGAGAGAACTGAGAGGACGATGAGAGAGAGAAGGAGTTGGGTTGCCACCATTGTTGGAGGTTGTTCTTCGTTTCTTGGAGTTTGGAGAGGGGTTTGGTTTTGCAAATAAGTCTGAGTGTAGTTGGAGATTCAGAGAGTATCTGAATTTGTAAGGGAAGGTTGTTTTTGGGGGGTTAAGATTTGACGATTTCTGTTAGGGCTGGATGGAATATAGGCAAAGTGAGACAATATATGGAGTTTCAAGGGGGAAAGTGAGACACTTAGAGTTTCAGGGGGGAAACTAAGATTGAAATTGAGTTACAGGGGGCATTTCAATAATTTAGCCTTGAAAGTATAGAAATTACTAATTGAGATGTCAATTTAAGTACTTTGAGATTATTCAAAGGTAGCTCTGTTCCAGCTTCAATACCTACAACCAAAAACAGGATTAGATATACAAAAACATCCCTGCCCAATACTCCAATCAATAACTTGCCTGGGTATGAATTCAATCACCAGCAACGCATATGTAAATTACCATTAATTATCTCTTGAACAATGATCGGAATAATCTTGCCCGAGTACGAATCACCAGAAATGTAGAGTGGATTTGCAAGAAACTTGCGATGAGTCGAAAGCCACTGGACATGATTTTAAGGAACAAGAAAGAAAGGTTCATAAATTGATGAAAATTGGCAACCAATATAAGTACCCAAATTATTGAACAAATTCTTTGTGCAAACTTGGCTCACCTTATGAAGAAACTCAGAAGCTCGTTTTGCATGAATGGTGTCACTAGTGTTGTAGCCAACTGCTGTTGTGGAGTATGAGAAACCAGTCCCGGCTGGAGCGTCTAAAAATATTATGTTTGCTAACTAAAAAGAAAAATGCGCACTTTCAATATATCTTCAGAAGCATAACCATATGCATCAATTGGTCACATGACCATTCATATATAGGAAAGTAAAAGCAAGAGATGGAAATTCCAGACCGTTGTCCATGAGTACGGATTCAAAACAAGTTCTACTGGATCCTCTGTTATACTTGTAAAACTGAAAGATATTGGACCTGTAATGAATGAACAACTTACTTATCATGTCAAGTCAAGAAATGAATGGCAATAGAGCAAATCGGGGATGGTATATATGTCATTTCCATTCCATCCCCGTTAAGATGGACAGTCAAGCAATCATGTCATTTATGGATATTGCTCAAAATAATTCCTAATAAGGGCGGAACCAAGAATTTTTAGACATGGATAACTTTTAGTTTGACATTTAATTTTATACCGAAAAAGTGAAGCTTCATTTACGAAAAATCTTGTTTGCAAAAATAAATAACTATTATTTCTCTAACTATTGTTTTTCGAATTATTTTGTGGACTTTCGTTTTTTGTTCTTTGATATTAAATAATCATTAAAATACGTGTATTATACGTTTGCTTTCATTATACCGACTCTTAAAGACGTATACGAAAAACAGAAGTATTATTTGAAAAATACGTATGTACGTGTATAATACGAGTATTAAATGGGAAAATGCTAAATTCTTTATACGAGTAATAACTCCGGAAAAGTAAAAAATCAAAAGAGGACAATACCTATACCTTGTTAATGGCCTAAACGTAACAGATTATCCACTAGACTAGTCTAAATACTATTTATTTAGTAATATCATTTATGCCATTAATTAAAATATTTAATACTAATTATTCACTAGAGATATAATAGTTAGAAAATAATTACTAATGAAAGTAATTAAATTAATTACTGGGAAGAAATTTTGAAAAAATAAAAATTTATTGACTTAAAGATACTAAGTTTTTATTTATTTATTTATTTAAAACCTATCCCGACGAAATTTCGTCGGCATAGGTCTTTGCAGGCAAAAGTTTGTCGGATTAGGTTTCCCACGACGAAATCGTCGGTAGAGGTAATTTCGTCGGGAGAGGTTGTTTGGCTTCTTTTTTTTGAGTTTTAAAAATATAAAATGAGTTTCTTCACTTTTGTTTTTTGGCCAACTTCTTGAATTTAATGCATCTAAATAATTAATACCTTAGCCTTTTTTTAATTACATTAATTAGTGATTATGCTTTAATTATTATTTCTTTAGTGAATATTTAAATATTTTACTAATTTCGTAAATTACTTGGTAAATAGTAATTAATTGTTTTTCAAATTATTTTGTGGACTTTCGTTTTTTATTCTTTGATATTAAAAAATCATTAAAATACATGTATTATACGTTTGCTTTCATTATACCGACTCTTAAAGACGTATATGAAAAACGGAAGTATTATTTGAAAAATACGTATGTACATGAATAATACGAGTATTAAATGGGAAAATGCTAAATTCTTTATACGGGTAATAACTCCGGAAAAGTAAAAAATCGAAAGGGGACAATAGCTATACCTTGTTAATGGCCTAAACGTAATAGATAATGCTCTAGACTAGTCTAAATACTATTTATTCAGTAATATCATTTATGCCAGTAATTAAAATATTTAATACTAATTATTCACTAGAGATATAATAGTCAGAAAATAATTACTAATGAAAGTTATTAAATTAATTACTGGGAAGAAATTTTGAAAAAATAAAAATTTATTGACTTAAAGATACTAAGTTTATATTTATTTATTTATTTAAAACCTATCCCGACGAAATTTCGTCGGCATAGGTCTTTGCAGGCAAAAGTTTGTCGGATTAGGTTTCCCACGACGAAATCGTCGGTAGAGGTAATTTCGTCGGGAGAGGTTGTTTGGCTTCTTTTTTTTGAGTTTTAAAAATATAAAATGAGTTTCTTCACTTTTGTTTTTTGGCCAACTTCTTGAATTTAATGCATCTAAATAATTAATACCTTAGCCTTTTTTTAATTACATTAATTAGTGAATATGCTTTAATTATTATTTCTTTAGTGAATATTTAAATATTTTACTAATTTCGAAAATTACTTGGTAAATAGTAATTAATTATTTTTCGAATTATTTTGTGGACTTTCGTTTTTTGTTCTTTGATATTAAATAATCATTAAAATACGTGTATTATACGTTTGCTTTCATTATACCGACTCTTAAAGACGTATACGAAAAACAGAAGTATTATTTGAAAAATACGTATGTACGTGTATAATACGAGTATTAAATGGGAAAATGCAAAATTCTTTATACAGGTAATAACTCCAGAAAAGTAAAAAATCAAAAGGGGACAATAGCTATACCTTGGTAATGGCCTAAACGTAATAGATAATGCTCTAGACTAGTCTAAATACTATTTATTCAGTAATATCATTTATGCCATTAATTAAAATATTTAATACTAATTATTCACAAGAGAAATAATAGTTAGAAAATAATTACTAACGAAAGTAATTAAATTTATTACTGGGGAGAAATTTTGAAAAAATAAAAATTTATTGACTTAAAGATACTAAGTTTATATTTATTTATTTTTTTAAAACCTCTCCCGACGAAATTTCGTCGGCATAGGTATTTGCCGGCAAAAGTTTGCCGGATTAGGTTTCTCGCGACGACATGTCGTCGGTAGAGGTAATTTCGTCGGGAGAGGTTGTTTGGCTTTTTTTTTTTGAGTTTTAAAAATATAAAATGAGTTTCTTCACTTTTGTTTTTTGCCAACTTCTTGAATTTAATGCATCTAATTAATTAATACCTTAGCCTTTTTTTAATTACATTAATTAGTGAATATGCTTTAATTATTATTTCTTTAGTGAATATTTAAATATTTTACTAATTTCGAAAATTACTTGGTAAATAGTAATTAATTATTTTTCGAATTATTTTGTGGACTTTCGTTTTTTGTTCTTTGATATTAAATAATCATTAAAATACGTGTATTATACGTTTGCTTTCATTATAC